TTGCAGAATATAAACTATGCTGTTCTTATAAAATATTTATTGTGTAGAATACAATTTAATATGGATGTGTAACTTTTTCCATCAACCTCTTTTTTTCAGCTTAAAAACTAAGAGTCAGAGTTCTGCAATAAGTACATAGCAATATCTGGAATTAGTCATAAAATATTAACAGTATTTTATGCTAATATTTGTGTGATAAGGATGTTTATACAGCAAATGCATTAAGCTGTCAATGGGTCTCTGACTTGAATGTTTAAATAACTTTGGTTTTAATCATGAATATTGCTTTTATGTTTACATCTGCTGTAGTTGCCTGCTGTCAAGACAATGTATTGAAATGAACGATTTGACTAATATGGCACCTGAAGATGCTAAGATATTAATCTTTTTATAATTAATAAAATGCTATTTAAGTGTGCTGCTGAATATTTTTTCCAGGGAAATGTACATTATGTGATCTTACTAATGTGCAAGAGCACAACAATAGTAGTATTAGTGCCACAGTTTTATTTTAAAGAAGTTAATGAACCATAAGTTTTTGTAGTTGATTGGACTATGCCGTAAATGTGTCGTATACAAATGAAATAAGATTTCATTGAAGTCTTACTGTTTAAACTGAAAACTTTGTTTGGGGATTTTAATTATTTTGATATTCATTAATTAATATACTACTGACTAAAATAGTGAAGGGAACTCTATGAAATTATCCCATTAATTGTAAAAAACTATGTATAACTATGTCTGAACTATATTACCACTGTTGTGACATAAATGATCTTAAATACTTATAGCACTCAAGTGATTTTGGCATCTTTGTAAAGAATATCCTATGTCCTGAATATTTCACTATAATTCACTGTTCCTCTCTTACACTGTATGTGAAATAGGAGTAATAATCTCTCTCTACTTCCGGGGGTAGTGGAGTGAGACTTTACTTAAATCTTGTGAAGTGCAGAGAATTATTAAGGCCAGTCAGTAAAAGAACTGGGAACAGAACTTGTGACCTCTTGGCTTGCTGTACATTTCCCTTGGTTAGGGGGCAATTTTATAATGGCTGTTGCAGCAGTAGGTAGAGCAATTGCCATTTTACCAGATTCTTTATTTCCTTGAAAACTTCAGAAAGTGTTGCTGGTCAATTCAGAGTTAGTCAGGGGATGATGGAGTTCAGTAGGTATGTTCTTTACAAGCTTTGAGAATAAATTTATGGCATGTGCTTGGTATGGTACACTACCAAGTATGTAATAGCTTGGTGAAATAAAAACAAGTTTCTTCTCAGATCAGGGAAGTGACACTTGTGATTTTTAATTATTGGAAGTTGCTAGCCCAGCCAGTAGCCCCACAGTAGAACTTTGTGTTTCTCTGCAAGAGACCCATGTTTTCTTAATGAGAAGTCTTTCTTTACCAGTCCCTTTTGAAAATAAACTCTACACCATTTATCAATCAGGAAGGGGGCACAACACATTGGCTCTTTTTTTACTCTCCTGCTTTTGCTCTTATCACTGTTGTGTGCTTCTATTTCCCACACTGTTAAAGTTAAATATTTTTATATTTAATGTAGTGCAACCAAAAATTCTTTAATTTATAAAATTGATTTACCTGTTGTTTATTGTAGACCATCCACAAGTGGCTGAGGTCTTTCTGCTGTATTAATATAATCATATATTAACATGATGTTTCAGAATTAGATCAGTCTGAAGTCTAATAACACTGGGGTATTTTTGTTAGGCTTTTATGATGACTTCTGGCTGAGGCAGCCTCTCTAGCAATTACTGTAGGAGATAAATATTGCTATTGCAACTTTTGCTAGAAATGTTGTGGTCATTAATTCACACTTGTCATATGATTCTAATCGATCTGCCACCACTCAGTCTTCCTTTTATCACCTTAAAAACATTTCTAGGCTAACAGCCTTTCTCTCTATGGAATCAAGGCTTTAGTACATACTTTTAAATATTCTAGGTTGATTAAAGCCAAGTCACCTTTCTGGGTCTCCAGAATGACTCTTAATGAAATTGCAATTAGTTCAAAATGGAGTTGTTCAAGTATCAGTTTACACAAGGTCTTTGGCACATACTGTGTTCCAGACATTACATGCACCAAATTAGGCAAATAATTAATGTTAAGATTTTGCTTGATGATCTACAAGGTTTTTCATGATTTGATTCCTTTATAAATTAGTGAATTTCTACCCTTTTATACACTGTCTTAGCCACTAGTTGTGAAAAAGTTTTTTGTTGGTAATTTCACCATATGACTGAAATCTTTTTGGTTACATTCTGTTCCACTGTTGTGAAATTTTTTGCCTGGCTAAATTAAGTATACTAAATCATTGCTCATTTAAGTTTACCATGATGGTGATCTTTGATATGAAAGGTGTTAAGCAAATGCTTTCGGAATAAGAAACTACAAGAAAAAAATTGTCAAAAATATTTTTGTCGATATTATTCTGCTTTTTATGTATCTTTACAGGTAAATACTAAATACAAAGCAAATCTAGGCTTTAGTTCTATCTTTATTCAAGTAAAACTCCCATTTATTTCTATGGGAGTTTTGCTCAAATAAAATACACAGTGTTTAACCCTATGTTAATGTAATCCTATATTTCCCCATTTAAAATTAAGTGTCATAAAATACAGAAGTGAAGATTTATACATCAGTATTAACTAAGCCCGAATGCACATAGATAATATTTTTTTTCTTTATTTTATCAAACATGGAGCAGAGGGAGAGAAATACTGGCCTCATTGAAGTCAATAGTAAAACTCCCATTGTCTTTAAAGGGCCAGGATTTCATCCAAAATGTGGAGTTTGGTTGAGTTAATGTTCCTGTAGAAGCCTCTATTTCTTGTTTGTTTGTTTGTTTGTTTGTTTGAAATAAATTTACCTGTGGAACCTTCACGCTGCATTAACTTAATATTTTTAAATCTGTTTCCTTGATAATTTTGGGAAGAGTGGGGTGGGAAAGAAATGTACATGTTACCATAATTACATTTCAGTGTTTCTAATTAGGCTTAAAAGTTGTCACTTTCTCTCCTGGTTTGACTAGAATTTTCTTGAAAGGCTGGGTCAACAGAGCAGCAGAATATGTGTTTACATAGTGTTGTCTGTATTTTGGTAAACTAGAATTATAGAAATTTAAGGTGTTAATCATAATAGGCTTTCTTATTTACTTAAATAGGAACTCTGGAAAACTTAGAATTTAGATAATACTATATTGAACAATGCACCAAAAATATGGACACACCCAAAAACTTCAGGATTCTCAATTTTTTTCATATCCACAATTTTATTATTTTCCTGGTGTCTAAATAAAGCCTCTGTTAACAAGTGTGGGGTGCTTTTTTCCAGTGAGACTGATGCATTCTCCCTCATATTAGGTCTAGTTATGGAAACCCTTACTCATGTGAATGGTCCTTCTGGGTATGTGTACACGGCAGAAAACAAAAACAAAACTGGCAGTGAGTCTCAGAGCCTGGGCTTACAGACTTGGGCTTGCACTACGGTACTGAAAGTAACAGCATAGGCATTCACACTTGGACTGGAGCTCAGAATCTGAGATCTGTCCCCCTTTCTAGGTTTCAGAGCCCAAGCTCTAGTGCGAGTCTGTAGACCCAGGCTCTGAGACCTGCTGCCACCGGTGGTTTTTTGCAGTGCAGTGTACCCACTGAAGTCACCTTTAAAGGACAGATTGACCACTGCATTATTGCAGTTTTCTGCCAGTATAACTCCTGTGGTGAATTGGGCTATATAAATCTTTGTCATTGCTAACAAAAACAATTCTCTCTGTGGTTGTGAAGTGTTTCTTATTAAAACTAAAATGTAATACCAGCATATGAAAAAGAACTGTGGTTAAGACACAATCTCTTTATTTGATTAAAATATCACATCAGTATTATGTTAATATATTAATCTATCATAATCTTACAGACTGCTTTTAAAACATAAAATCAGACCCATTCCCTGTTTCAAAGAGCTTACAGTCTAAAGTTCCGAACTCTTGTTTTGACTTCAGATCTGAGGGCACCAATTACTTTTCAAGAGATATTCAACACCTTGTAGGATAGAACCCTAAGAAGTTACACAAGACACAGATGTCCTTTAGTAAGGTGATAGAAAATATTTCATGGTAGCCAACATAAAGTTCATTTTAGCTGAGAAATGAGCATTTTATAGTGAAAGTTAGCTGTTAGGTCCTGATTCAACAAAGAATTTAAGCATGTGCTTAAATGCTTTGCTGGATTGTGAAAAATACCACTTACAACACACCACTAATTTTAATAAAGTGAATAAATATATCCCAGGGATCTCAAACTCAAATCACCACGAGGGCCACATGAGGACTAGTACATTGGCCTGAGGGCCGCATCACTGAAATCTTTTCATACAATGATAGAAAAGTGTAGTCAAACATGAAAAAAAGAGTAATATAGAAGAGTAATATAGTATGCTATTAAAAGTCAAAGTAGTAACTTTTTAAAAACTGTAATGTGAAGAGGGGTTTTAATAAAATATAAACACCTGTAACTATTCCTTATGTGGTCAGTAACACTGATGATGATATAACAGTCTGTCAACATAGCTGTAATGGCAGGAACTTTTTAAAGTAACTATTCATACAAAATATGTTGCCACTTTTAACAAACATTCTTCCCAACTACTCACAGCAAAGAATCATACATGCTGAACTTCATACCTCAGACTGCTTGTCTAGTCCATGAGGCCCCACCCCTTCCCCGCCTCCATTTCAACCCCTTCCCCAAATCCCGTCCCCGCTTCTTCTCTGCCTCCTCCCCTGAGCGCACCGCATCCCCGCTCCTCCCCCCTCCCTCCTGGAAAGTCCTAAGTGCTGCCAAACAGCTGTTTGGTGGCAGGAAGGACTGGGAGGTAGGCAGAGGAGTGGGGACATGGCACGCTGGGGAGGGGGCGGGGGGTGAGGGGAGCTTGGCTGCTGGTGGAGTCAGCACCTATGTGGGCTGCAGGAAATAACTCCGTGGGCCACATGTTTGAGACCCCTGATATATCACCTCTCTGATACATTGGTACTCTCTTATCTCCTAAATTCATTCTATGTGGTGGATGCCACCTATATGGATGACTGGTGAGTCCTCATCTGCTAGTAATCCAAGTGACAGCCAATCCAGAAGGAGAGATTTTATGCCCAGTACCACCACCTCCTCTCCTGACTTGCAGGCTTCTCCAGTTCTCACTGAAAGAAGATGGTTTGTCTCTGCTGAGGCACCATCTTATTTCCAGGTCTCAGTAGAGCTTCTGAACATGGACCAGAGTAGAACAAAACAAAAACTCCTTCCCAGAAAAATGATAGCTGAAACTGCCCCTTCTATGTGCTTCTCCTCTGCAGTCTTTGGCAGTGAGTCCATTCTACCCCAGACATAAAACAAGAAATACTGTATTCTCAAATCTTTTAGCTGGGGTAGTATGTGAAGAGAGAGCTGGTCTTTAGCTTATGCAGAACTCAAATCACTAAGGCTTTTTAGATCAGAACCAATACTTTGAATTGCATCATGGCAGCCTCTTGGGTCAGATGTAATATGTTCCCTGTGGGCTGCCACTTCTGCACCAGCTGAAGTTTACAAATGGTTTTCAGGTGTAGCCCCCAATGAAGTGCTTTGCTGAAATCCAGTATCCAGGCGAGAGAGGCAAAAAATAACTGTGCCAAGTTCCACATCTAAACGGAATGATCACAACCTTCCAGTTAAGTACAGATAGAAAGTATACTTTTAACCAGTGGTATCTGGACATCCAGCAAGAAACCTTAGCTGCAATCTTGTGTAACAAAAGCCGCAGCCCAGGGAGCAGAAATTCTCTGCCATTTCCAGCTATTACTTCCCCATGCCTAACCAGCTTTCCCTTATTTCAGTTCTCATCCAGACCATTTCAGTTATATGCTGGGCATATCAGTCAACTGCACTTTCTTCATCGAGTGAAATAGTCATAGAGCTGTGTATTATCCACACACTGTTGGGATTATAGCTCAAACAGCACACTATTCGAAACCACAAGTGCTGTTCAGCTCAGTGAGTTAATATTTCCATTATTTCTAATAATTTGCTCTTTGTCTTCTCATTAATTTGGAAATATTACATATGGCTTCCTTTTTAAAAATAGAACATATTGAACAAATACAGCATGTTTTTTTTTAAAAAAGCTTATTGACTAATTATGTACCTTTTATTAATATCCTTTAGGGCCAGCTGCACAACAGTAACACTGTGCTATGCTTCGAGATGTCATGGGAAAAACCTTTCGACTTCTGGGGTATACCATTCAATATGGATGCATAGCACACTGTGCCTTTGAGTACCTTGGAGGAATTGTTGTGGTAATATTTATTTTCATGCTAATAAGGATAATGGGTTTAATCAGAACTTTATTTTAATAGTGAAAAGTTTTAGTAGTATCAGCATTTTAATTTCTGTTGTATCCGCAGAAATTAAGTATCATCATACTTAATTTCTGCGGATACAACTTCTAAGTCTATTAGTGTCCAGTTTTGTTTGTTTGGTTTTTGTTTTGGATTAACTGAACAGCCACTTCCTGGCTGCAGGAGTTGGCCTCATTACAGGCCTAATATTGCAAAGTACTTAGCTCCTCAAGTTCCACTGAAGCCAATGACAGTTAAAGGCATTGAGCACCTTGCAGAAAGTTGGGACCACAAATAGCTCTTTAAAAAAGCATTTTTTCCCAATTCTGCTCTTAGCGCTACCAGCACTAAACCTAGTAAACCTGGCACCCCAGAAATTGGTGGTAGTTGATATTGTAGAGCTACTGTCACAACTTCTTTGCCACTCCCTCTCATAATGGCTGAGGAAAGGAGCAAGGCGGGAAGACCCTGCAGATTCTCCCCACAACTTCCTGATGATCCTTGGCTGCTGTAATGGCCTTTTGGGATTGTTGGCAGCTGGTGCAGTATAGAGCAATCTTTTTGGAGATCAGAGTAGACTGATGCACAATGTATTGATATTTCCATAACACTTAAGTTGTGGGAGCTCAAAAGGAACCTTTATACACTCCCTTTTCAAATGTGTCTCGTACTCCTTGGCCACACCTAAAGAACTAGTCTATTGTTTCCCCCCAAATTATAGCTTTTTGGTGACTTGTTTGCAAATAATTTAATCTCTTAAGTATTATGCAAGTTAAAATATTTTGCAAATAGTGGTTTTTTTTTTTTTTTTTTTTTAATTTACAGTGTTCTGGACCTTCAATGGAACCAACAATTCAAAATTCTGACATTGTCTTTTCGGAGAATCTTAGCCGCCATTTTTATTGCATTCAGAAGTATGTTGCTTTGTTTAGATTAATGTTTAGTTTTCTAAAGTAATGAATATCTCTCTGTCTATTGCCTTTCCAATGTATTTCCTATGGCAACTAACTGTCTCTTGTCTTTTTTCCTGTATTCATCTTCTTTTAATTTGTTTTTGTAAGTGCCAGTCTCATTTCACTTTATTTCTAGAAGAGAAGACAGATTAAAAGTTTTGCTTTTAGTCTCACAATACAAAATTACTTCACTCAGAGTTCTCCTGGGACGTAGTGCATGTCACTTTTGGAATTTTGGCCAAAAGACTGAAAATCCCTTGTGTCCTTCCAACCATGTTTCTCACACGACCATCACACTGAATAAGACTTCCTATTTTCCATTTATCTTGTCCTATATGTGGAGCTGCTAGTATTGTTGTTTCCAGACAGGAAGTTAAGGGAGAGCTTCTCACCAGAAATGATGAAAGTACCATTTATTATATTGTCCCCATGCCACCTTATTATTTTATGGAGCACTGCATGTGTACATAGTGGTCGTTAGCCACATAAAAAACAAGGCCCTTTCCCTGACTATTGTAGTTTACAATCTAACACATGCAGAACAAGGAGTAATGGTCTCAACTTGCAGTGGGGAAGGTTTGGGTTGGATATTAGGAAAAACTTTTTCACTAGGAGGGTGGTGAAGCATTGGAATGGGTTACCTAGGGAGGTGATGGAACCTCCTTCCTTAGAGGTTTTTAAGGTCAGGCTTGACAAAGCCCTGGTTGGGATGATTTAGTTGGGGAATGGTCCTGCTTTGAGCAGGGTGTTGGGCTAGATGACCTCCTGAGGTCCCTTCCAGTCCTGATATTCTATGATTCTAACTAAGGGATGATAGGGTAAACAGAAGTAGTGTAGGGGATAACAGACTCTTAGAAATAGACATTGGAAGGTTTCCTGAAAGAAGAGGGTTTTGTAGAGGATTTGAAGAAAGTTGGTGTGTATACAAGAAACTGGAGGCTGATCTGTGTATAGTAGGCAGCAAACACACTGATGTAAATGGTTTTTACTTGTTCAGGGCATTGTCAGATGACGATCAGCTGTATTTTTGTTATTCAAGTACTATAAATTCAATCTCTTCAAATGTGCTTTTTAAAACATATATAGAATAATTGGTCCTTTTAGCTGAATTGTCATGGAAAAAAATGGAGATTATAGGCAGTGGTTCTTAACATGAAATAATATTCATTTAATTGAAAAAATATGTAATTATTAGTTGTGTATATATTCATTCAAAGATTGTTCTATACTGACATTTCTTTACAATTTGTTCCCCCAGAGGTGATATTGTAATTGCAAAAAGCCCAAATGACCCCAAATCAAATATCTGTAAAAGAGTAATTGGCTTGGAAGGAGACAAAGTCTGTATAAGCAGTCCTTCAGATTTCCGTAAGAGTCACAGTTATGTAAGTATACCTTTCTCTTTTGTAAATCATATCAAGAATTACTTAATATGCAGTCAACATTATTAAAGTTGAAGTTTCTTCAAAACTTCATATTTAAATATTGATAATTCTTGATGATGTGTAGCTGACTTTTCTTATGAAATTTTATTCTTAATGTGCATTCTTGTTCACTGTATGTCAGACAGTCTTCACAATCGGCATCTAGTGCTTGAGTCCTAAAAAAATGAAGTGCTGGAACTGCCAGCTCCCCGCTGTGGAAGGAGAGATGGCGGCTCAGTAACTAGGGGGAACCGAGGGGGACTCTCTCAACATGGCTCTCAGCTGCAGGTTACTGAGCCACCACTTCTCCTTCCAGAGTGGGCCCAGAAGTGGAAGAGTTGGAGGAGGCAGCATGAAGGAGATGTTTTCTCTGCCTCTTCCATCTCTTCCACTTCCAGGCCCACTTCAGAAGGAGAGATGGCTGTTTCTTTCTCCTTCTGGAGTGAGGAGCAGGGTCAGAAGTACTGGAATGCTATTCCAGCTCCTCCAAAAAGGGCTGGAACACTGTTCCTGAGCATTCCAGCATAATTTGAGTGGTGGTTCTCCATATCTATAGCAACTGGAGGCAGACCAGATCTTTACTCTGTTCTTTGCTTGGAACTGCCTTTCTGGAAGAACTTTCCAGAATTTTCTGCCTCCAAATGTACAGATGGCAGACTCAAGGACTCCCTTTTATAGCAGTATTTTCTCAGTATTTTGAAAAGAACTTTGACTAAATTTCACACCGGTTTCTCATTGGCATCGAGGAGTTTTGCTGCAAAACTACTATTTTTTTTTTCCATTTAGTTTTCTGAAAAAGCACTTTGTCTGAGACAGCAACAGGAAGCAGAAGGGCAAGAAATGTTCCCCATTGCTCACACCATTTCCCAACTAGCATGTTCTCCTAGGAAATCCTTAAACTTCATTGCAAGGCTCTGCTGTAAATAATTTGAGTTGAATAGCACTTTAAAACTTATATCTCGTTAGTGTCCATAGCTGAAAAATACTATTATTCTAGAATATTCTTCTTGGAGGGCAGTCCAAAGCCTGGGCTCAGAGCAAAGATTTGGTCCGTCTTCAGTTGCTATGGAGACAGGAACACTCACTGAAAAGACTGTCTCTCTGACCTGGAAGGTTTTATAAAGAAAATTCACAGGTAAGACACCATTCTCCTTTATCCCATAAATTATAGTGAACAATGTTTTCTGAGACTAAGGGCCTGATCCTGTGAGGTGATTAGTAAACTCAACTTCCACTGAAGATAGATCTCAAAAGTAGTCAATAGTTTACCTAATACCTTTTTATGTTACATATTATACATTAATATATTTGATCTTTTAAAATTTATCCTGGTAAGTGTACTGTACTTTGGTACCTCTCAGTTTGTTGTATTAGGCTATGTGCATATGTATTGTATGTATGTTGTATTAGGCTATGATTGAATATACGATCAGTACATTCAGTCATAAACTCTTTAATGAGCAAAGACTATTAATCATGTTGAATATATGTTGTTTTTGTTAGACTGCCAAATTCCTTTCACAGGAAAATGTTAACATAACCTTACAGTATTTTAATAATTCGCAATAAATAGTCCAGTGTGACGGTGTTTTTATTCTTATTAAAATGTACTACTTTTTCTCCTTTTATGGGGCCAGGCTTTGCAGCACTTAACCTTGTTTTTGGCTAAACTGTTTGTAAGCGTGTTTGTTGGGGGGAGTCATGACACATTGAGTGACTTGCGAAGCAAGAAATACCAAGGATTGAGCAAATTAGTACCTTCCCCCCCCCCTTTCTTTGATTCTGGTGTCCACCAACTAGTGGCTAGATATTATAGTAAGCTTACTCGGTTAGTAGAGACACTATCTGATACCAGTAGGATCTGTGTAGCATCTTTATCACAGTTGAGACTTCAGTTGCTTCTAGGAAGCTGCTGACTCTGTGAGCCAGAAAGAAATGTCCTCCTATCCATTTCTGTAGGAATTGTGTTCAGCTTGCATCAGCTAGAAGCAGGAGCGGCGCCAGGGTTTTTGCCGCCCTAGGCGGCAGCGCTCCTCCTCTGAGCATTCGGCAGCGGGAGTCCTTCCGCTCCGCGTCTTCGGGGCACTTCAGCGGCGGATCCCGGAGTGAGTGAAGGACCCGCCGCCGAATTTCCGCCGAAGACCTGGAGCGAAAGGACCCCCTGGCGCCAAATTTCCACAGAGGACAGCAAAATGCCGCCCCCCAAATCCTGCCGCCCTAGGCGACCACCTAGGGTCGCTTAGTGGAAGCGCCGGCCCTGGCTAGAAGTTACTGTTGGCATATCTTACAGATTCTAAGCTTGTGATCTCTTTGCTCATCAGTACCACTATACCTGGGACCTAAGACCTAAGTGTGTTCTAAAATCTAGTTCTACTACCCTCCCTAAATTTATTCTTGAATTCACTTCTGTGTGTAAATGGGGAGGAGGGTATGGGATCCTTTATTATTAGGCACTGCTATCACTTTAAAAACAGTGCTTCTTTGAGAAATGGAGGGAAGAAAAGAGAGGAAGATAGCTGCTGATCACAAGATGGCACCTCATCAGAAGAGTGAATCTACAGTTTGAAAAAGTCTATTTTCCTTCCTTGTTCATTTCCCCTTTGGCATGTTCAAGCATTGCAAACGAGTATTTTACCTTTAATACAAATTCCATCAAAAATGTATCATAAATCAAGTTGACTAAAACAAAAAAAATCATCCTTGTTTGCCAGATTCTCAAGCCATGTCCATATTATGAATTGCCAGGCTCCTACACCTCCCCGTCCCATCCCATCCACCAGAGTACTTGTGGTGTTAGTGATCTTAAACCAGCATTCATATTTTTTTCATAGTAATGGCCTTTTCTCTTTTCCCAGGCATTTTCTTAAATTATTGAATTTAAGATTTAGAAGTTTCTTTTTAGCTATAAATTGAGTCTGGCAGGAAATAGACTATTCACAAAATTTCAGATATTTGGACAAATGCATAGTTGTAAAGAATATCAACACTTACGATGCAGTGAAATTGGGTCATGGCATGTTAATCCTTGTTAAATATGTAGCTAATTTTAAATTTTTACAAATGAGAGAGAGCAAACAACAGTATAACCAGACAGCTACAGATCTTAAAGATGAACTGGAAAGTTAAAATGAAAACTGAGTGAAAGTCCACAAATATGCGTTGAATTGCCCCACAATGAAATCCTTCTCGCCTTGTTTCTACTACTTGGTTCTCTGAAGACATTCCAGAATGTCAGCATTATGACATCAACTACTAGAAGTCTCACTGTAACAGATGATATTTGATGTCACAGAATGGTGGCATTCTGGGGTATGTTCAGAGACTCAAAGTATCAAAAAGGCTTAACAATTGCAAAAAGATGTTAGTGTAAGTGGAAACATTTATTTCTGTGTAGAGTAATCCATATTCATCATCTATTTCTGGACATAACTGAATTTTTATTTTTGCTTTTCAGTGTATTTGTATGAACACTAGAGCCATTTGCTCCAGTACTCTAAAAGTCCACCCATCATCACCTGTAAACAGTGATTTATGTAACATTAGAAAAGTTTCTCACTGAGAATTTTACAATAGAATTTTAGACACGGTAATTTGCTTAGCCAGCATTTTTCTATGTTATATTTGTATTTGAATAAAAGTTTTCCCCCTCACAATCTAGTTTCTCCTACTTGATCATTGCACTGACGTCATAATGCTATATTTGACATGATATTCTTTAATTATGGACATAACTGCAATACCTTCTGAAGCACACTGTCAGTGAATGTTGCCCTCAGTCTCAAATTCAATACAGGATCAAATAAGATCTTTAATATTGCTGTAGAACTCCTAGCTTCTAGATTTCCTGACTTCTACATGCTTTAAAACACTCAGCTTTATTATTGTATTAAAAAAAATTCCATTTAGTTTACTGATATGAGAATGTTTTAGTAAAATGATTTTTAAAACCATTTTTAAAGGGTGAACTATCCAAGGCTGCACTTTGCCTCTTATCATGAAAGAAAAACAGATTTACAGGGGCATTTCTTTCTGAAAATATACCGATCACAAGTATGTTTCTGAGCTGGCTGGCTTTGACACCAGGATACATCTTACCATTAAAATTTTTTTAAGAATGTGGGTGTATATATATTCTTCTTTGAGTGCTTGTTCATGTCAACTCCAGTCAGGTGTGTGCATACACACGTGCACAGTAGCCGGAAGATTTTTCCCCTAGCAGCAACTGTAGGGTCAGCCTGGGCGTCCCTTGGAGTCGTGCCTTCATGGCGCCCATTATAGAGCCCTGCTGCCCCTACACCCCCTCAGTTCCTTCTTACCATCAGTGACAGTAGCTGGAACTTCCCCTTGCTCTTCTCTTGCTTCAGCAAGTGGATTAGCAGTGCTTTATATCCTGTACATAGTTAGTTTCCAGTAGTTAGTATCGTTTAGTAGTTCTTGATAAGTTTCAGATAGGGGTGGTTCCCTCCCCCCCCCACCATTCCCCCTCACATTTGTTACCGGGGCATGCCGCGATCCCCAGGCTTTAAGACTTGCCAGATTTGCTCGAAGCGCATGCCAAAAAGTGACCCCCACATCTCCTGCTTACGATGCCTGGATGAAGGTCACCAGAAAGACCGCTGCAAGATCTGTCGGGAATTCCGACCGAGAACCATTCAGTAGAGGGAGTAGCGTCTCAAAATTCTCCTTATGGAGGCAGCTCTCTGACCTCAGTCGGATCCAGGCGCCAGGGATCCTGCTCCCAGCATGTTAACTTCGGCGCGAAGCACTCCGGCGCTGTCTTTGAAGGATCCAGCGCCAAAGAAAGATGCTGGCAAGGAAGCTCAGCACCGTCATGGAGCCTCTTGGGGACATTCCAGCCTTCGGCACCTGTCCCAATCGCCGGCATAGAAGAAAAAGAGGTTGGAGAGAGGCTGATCTCCCTCAGCAAGACCCATGGACCAGCCACCAGTGGCACCTCAGTC